CGTACCATCTTCATCGTCCTCGCTCTCTTGTCGGGTGGTGGGCCGGGAGGCTTCGCTGCCCTTCGCTGCACCGCGTCCCCGGGGCGTGGTGGCTTCCTTCTTTCGTCTCCGCTTCTTGTCTTCCTTCTCCTGGGCTACGCTCTCCGGCGCTTTGTACACGGTTTCCTGCGATCGTAGGACGGAGAGATAACTACGTCAACACCTTCCTTCGATGAAGGAGCGCGTAGTAGACGATTAATCTAATCGAGCGGACCTGCAGCTCCTGCTTGATTCGTTGCTCCTCCTTGATCTGCGCAGTCATCTGCTCGATGGCCAGCGCTCCGATGTCGATCGCATGCTCGCGCATACTGCACACGAAACAACGAACGCATGTTAAACGTGTTTGGACTCGCAGCTTGGTGGCGGTGGTGGTCAGCTTTCGTGTACCTGACCAGCCAGTCGTTAAACTCGTCGGTGACATATTTCTTGATCGTCTCCTTGAGTGCTGGAATCTTGCTTTCTGTTGGCCAAGTGCACAAAACAAAGGATTAGCAAAGGCCGTTCCACATACGCGGGGAGGAGTGGGCACGCACCCAGAAACTTGACAAACTCGTACTGAGGCAGTTGCGGCAATGACTGGTGTTCGATCTCGCCCAAGACCTGCAAGCACAGCGCGCCCCACCATCGGCGTCAGCAAGCGCTGTTCCGCTACCGGACAGTGTCCTGACTCACTGAGTCAGGGCCTCGAGGGGAGGGACGCGCGCCTTGAGGGCCTTGTAGAACTGTCCGTCTTTGATTTGTCGGTTGGCCTGCTCGCACTGGTGGAAGACAAAGACGCAGCGCGACAGCTCCTCGATCGCCGCGTTGATGTTGGCATGAGTGGCGCGCAGCTCGAGCAGCGCTTGCGACTGTCGCGACGAAATAGTAGCGAGGACCTCCGGTGAGTTCGACCAGTCGACAAGACAAGCCAGGAAAAGAGTTGAGGCGACACCTTATCGAGGAGCGAGGTGCCCGTGGCTTGGATCTGTGTGTTGAGGTGTACGATATCGTCCTTCAGCTGGCCTGTCTCCGTGCGCAAGGCCAGCAGCTCGTCCACGCTGTGAATGAATTCCTACCATCATTCCCCACCACGCGCGCGCGCGCATATGAGCCTTGAGCGCAACAAAAACAAGATGGTTGTAGTGCTGGGCCCCACGACTTCGCTGAGGGGTTCTCTGTAAATACCTGGTAATGGAAATTGCAGACGTTTTCGATCTCCTTCCTCTTGCCGCGAATGAAGAGAGCGAGCGTGCGGATGAACTCCTGCTCCTTCTCCTGCTCAAACACCGACCTGTGCACCACCACCACCGGCGGCGGGCAAACGCGCAGTCCATCGTTGATAAGTCGCCACCTCCTTTTGCGCGCGCGCGGGCCAAAGACGGGCTAGGCGTACCTGAAGGTGGGCCCGAGCGATTCGCTCTCGATCAGGCTGAGGATGGCATCCTGAGTCTCTTCGCCTGTCGCTCCCTCTGTTGTTGGTACACGACAGATGGCAGCAGTAATGCTGGAATGTCAGTGCACGAGCAAGAGAGACAGTAAAAGCGAAGAACAGCACAAAGAACGAAGGACTGCTCTTGAGTGTCGCACAAAGAAAGAAGAGAGAGAGAGAGAGAAAGGAGCGGACCTGGGAGGTTAGGGTCGTCGTCTTCGTCGACACCGAAGGGCGCGCTCGCAAAGCCGGCGCGAGGAGAAGGCAAAGACCCTGCGCCGACGCGAGGAGAGGCCAAGGCGGCGGCAGAGGAGGAGGGGGACGAGGAGGAGGGGGACGAGTCGGCGGCGGCGGACCGCGCGTCGGTGGCCATGGCCTGAGCGACGACCTTCGTGGCGACGGGTGCGAGGAAGGGAAGGTACTTG